TCCCACTGCTCCACCATCCCTTCTCCCACTGCTCCGCCATCCCATCTCCCACTGCTCCACCATCCCATCCCCGATTGCACCCCATTCTGCCAGAATCTTTTTAGAATAATACGGTCGCCATATTTGTTTGAGAAGAGGATTCAGGCCATCAAAATAACATGTATGTGTGTTTGTACGTATATGTTTGCTGCCGATCATGTGAATGTATCTCTGCTCATGTTTTTCCCTGATGCGAATGATGATTTATGAAGTTACTTTTCTAAATTTAAATAATAAATCTCAGGACTGCTTTACACGAGTGACGAGAGAAAGTTTGTTGCAAATCTTAAGGCGAGGAGGGAAACTGCAAGTAAAACCGGCTCGATTTAACTTCGTCATTGCCATTTATTTTGTCATTAGGTTTTTTATCATTCCGATTATTTCTGCTTCATTTCTGTTATTATTGCTTCTACTATTATTGCTACCGTTATTACTAATATTTTTTTCATTACTTTTTCCTTCATTACTAAGTTTATTGTTGTTATTATTACTTCTGCAGCTAACTCTTTTACGGGTTTACGTCAAATCGCCTGCAGTCTGCCGTTCAGCAGATTTAGCATTGGTCAGAGCAAATGGAAAAGTTGTCAGTTGCCTAGGCGAACTTTGAAATGCAGCTGATCAAACAGTAGAATAAAAGACAGGGGATTGGACTAAGTGTCATGTTCAAGAAGATATGTTTGGTATCAGTCTGTATTTCTCATCCCTTAGCTGTAAAAACAGATTAGAGCTTTGCAAGCGGGATAAGAGTGGGACAGCATTACAGTAATGGATGGAAGCAGCCGAGTGAAAAATTGCAGTGACTTTTTTTGGTAAATTCCAATCAGTGGAATGGCAGTAAATGACAAAAGTCTAAAAACTTTTAGAATTTTTTTTCCGTCAATCTTCCATCAGGAAGAATGCGAGAAATGCACAAAATTGCTGTATCATTGTTAATTCCGAAATGATTTAGCGTCCTTCACTTAAATTAACTGCCCCTTCCTCTCGGTCTCAGCCCTCCACGGTCTTGCTACCCCTCTTCCTGCCTCCTGTCGATAGCATTCTGGAGATATTTTGCGCAATATTTTTAGGTATTGCTTACAGGATTTCAGACATCCCATGCAGTATTTTAGAATATGCAATCCAGTATTTTGAGCTACTCCGTACAGTATTTTAAGTATGTCATACAGATAGTTCCATAAGCAGCCTTAGTATATGTATGCTGAAGTTTCTACTTAATACCTAGCTACATCCTTTTGGATGCGTGATCTGCAAGGGAGGACAGTGATTTCAGAAATGCTATGTTTGAAGAAAACTGCCACATCCCGTTGTGCATTCCATCGCTTATTCTGGTGACGTTTCATGAATTTCCGGAAAAGTGCTCGTAACGTATGCAGTTGTGCAAGCAATCACACCTGTGGAACGTTATTGTTTACAGGAGTGCAACTTCCGGGGCCGCGCGAAGAATGCAGAAGAGGAGGCGCCTTCCGAAGACTCATTTTGCGGGGTCCGAACTGAAGATTTGTGTAACCCACATGTGCGGCGTTCAGCAATTTGAAATGCACTATTTTATGCCCAGGTGTGCTCTCTCTCTCCGCTCTGCCTTTTCCCTCTCGTTGTACATCATTTCAGGTGTGTAAGGATGTTCTGTTATCCTAAAAAGAGTCATCGACGCACAGAGAGAGGATGAGGAGCGGGAGAAGGCAGAGAGAAAGTAGGGGCGAAGACTGGTGCGCACCGTTTTCCCGGAATGAGCGGACTGCACGCGACAGCAGACTGTTCCACTTGCCGTAACAGTCATTGCCTGGTTGCTCCCGCTAATACTTCGAATTTTCTTTTATGAAAATTTCGAGTGAGAGGAATTCGCGCTTCTTGGATTTCGACTTTCATCGCTATGAAGTTTGTCTCTCGAGATAACTCAAATTCATGCACAAGGATCCGCAATCGTCGCCGTCATCGTCTTATTCACCATCGTCTTTAGCCCATCATCTCAAATCTTTCGGCGGACCCTGACCCCATTCTGACCTAGCCAATAAGATTCCT